ATATATATAATTTTTTTTAGTTTCAGACAGTCTGTTTGGTATGTTAAAATAAATTATTTTTACTCAGTAGAAACCTTGTCCTTATGATGCATATTTCACATTCTTAAAGCATTTTTGTTTTATTTTTACACTAGCACAGCACCACAATGTTCCCTTTTAAACACCCAATCAATAAAAGTGTATTTCAACTGTTTACTCCTTTGATTTGATGTCTCCAGTGAAAAAATATTTTATGGACTTGCATAAAATTAACTCTTTAGTAAATTGTGCCCTTAATGGTCAGAAATGCCTATTTCCAGAAGCCAAAGTTAGCTAATATCTCACCGAAAGGTAAGTAATGTACAGAGCATGTAACAAGTTTAAGCAAAGGAATGTTTTCTTACCAGTCATAGTAAAAGCACCAACGAGCAGTCCAATGTCTCTGCCACCCACAATAATCCCTTCTCGAGGATCTCCATCTCCACGCAAGTTCTTAGTTCTCCAGGCTGCCCAGATACCAACAGACAGAATAGCCAAGTAAAACAAGATTATAGCAATCAGCCCCTCCACGTGGAAAGCCATCTTCTTCTAAAGCCCTGAATGGCTATTTCATTAATAACTCTGCTGAAGTGCAGCACATTCGTTCTCCACACATGTAGAACTGTGAATAAAAGAAGCATAGATTTCATGCACTTAAAATAAATTTGTTCCATTCATTGCTTTGCTAAAAAGTCACTGATGAATATCAACAAGTCAGTCACCTGTAGCCACATGCTCTGCTTGACTGATGTGATTTTCTCTATCATTCATTCAAGACAAGTAAAATAAATCCTATCCCCTTTTAATAGTGAATATCAGCAGGGAGCAATATTTTAACTGTGGTTATTTGCATATTACTTCATTCAAACCCCAGGAGCTGCTTTATGTATGCATCATTACATAAAAATACATACATGCAACTATATGATTATCCTCTTTCCACTCAGCACTTGGTTTATCTCTGTCTATTCCTATGAAGAATCATTTTATTTTATCAAAGTCTAGATTATACAGGGATCAGACTTTGTGATCAATATCTTACAGTATAAAATGATTATTCAAAATCTAGATAACATCTCAACTACATCATTATTATCATCCTAGAATAGCTAACTATATTGTTTTGGTGTTCACATTGTTTTATACACCCCTTTAGCAACTATAAAAGTTTGATCTATAGTCTTGATTAAAAAAATGACAAAGCAATAAAGAGAAAAAATTCAGATGATGCATTAGTATAGTACTTACATCACACAGGTTATCCCACACTGTTGGTTAAAGGCTCTAGAAAATAGCATCATCCACCTGCAGCCTTAGTGATACACGCTGTTTTCTTTCCTTGCTCCCCCTCTCACTGTACACACCCTGTTTCACAGGCAAGCACACAATCCCCCTGCTGCTTCTCTGCTCCACAATCCACTTCTCAGTGAAGTAAAACAAGAAATCCACCCCCTATGAGCTGCAGTCAGCTTCACTCTGTCAACTCATGCTGTCAAGAGTCCAGAGCAAAAATGCATCTTTTCTGTTTTAGTATTATAAATGCAATAGGTGAGTATGCACAGATGCAGATGAATGAAACCTAATGGTTTTAAAATCTTAAGGAAATGCTTAAAGTCATTGTTGTCTTGAATGTGTTTCGGCATTGGAACTGTCCTGGGTGCTGTTCTCTTTATTGGAAGTCTTAATCAAAGCATCTGGTTAGTTAAGGGGGTGGAAGCCAGAATAACAATAGTCTGTAAGTCTGACAGTAGAAACAGGCATGGAGC